TAGTTAAAAGGATGTTTCGAGTCAACTCAACTGGCTCATTTGATCCCTTTACATCATACCCTAAACTTTTCACCGGTCTTGGTGATACACAAGTTCATTATAATATAAAATTAAAGCCAAACGCTGAACCGTACTCTCCCAAAGTTCCAAGGCGTGTTCCCTTACCCTATAAAGATGCTGTAAAAAAAGAACTGCATGCAATGTTGGATAAAGGTGTTATCGTGAGAGTAGACACTCCGACTGACTGGTGTTCACCTCTTGTCATTGTCCCTAAAAAGGACAATTCAATGACTTTGTGTAGATTTTACTAAACTTAATGAGAGTATTAAACGAGAACTATATCCTGTGCCCTCTGTAGACTACACTCTGGGACAATTAGATGGTGCTAAAGGTGTTCTCGAAACTAGATGCTAACTCGGGTTATTGGCAAATACCCATAAAAGAAGAAGCTTCATATTTTACTACGTTCATCAAACCTTTTGGAAGGTTCAGATTTGTACAGCTTCCTTTCGGGATTGCCACTGGTTCGGAAGTATTCCAGTGTCAAATGTCTGATCACTTGAAGGCCTTCAAGGTGTTGTTTGCCATTTAGATGACTTAACTATATATGGGAAAGATATGGAAGAACATGACAAAAATTTACATTAGTGTTTTGTGTAGGCTCCAGGAAAAGGGCTGGACACTTAATAGATCAAAATGTGTGTTCCGGCATGACAGTATCAGTTTACTATGCCACCTTGTAACTAAAAATGGTATTAAGCCAGATCCATCTCTTGTTGAGGCTATCCAAAAACTCAAGACGCCAACTAATGTTAAAGAGCTAAGGAGAATTCTAGGTGTTGTCAATTACGTAGCCAAGTTTATTCATAATTTGTCGACCATAGTTCATCCACTACATGCTTTACTGCAAAGAAATACAGAATTTGTTTGGGGGGCATGATCAATACCAAGCTTTGGAAAAGATTAAACTGTCATTGATGTCCGAACCGTGTCTCGCTTTATACAGCATGTCTAAAGAAACCTTCCTCTCAGCGGATTCCTTGTCATACGGTATTGGAGTTGCACTACTTCAGCTTCAAGAAGATGGAACTAAACGTCCTGTGGCCTATGCTTTGAGAAGTTTGTCATCAGCCAAACGTAATTGGGCTCAAATAGTAAAAGAAGCTCTAGCGATTGCATGGGAGTGTGAACAATTTGAACACCTCATTTTAGGGTTGCATTTGACAGACCATAAGCCCTTGCTCTCCATATTCAAGATAAAAGACTTGGACAATATTACTCCCAGGCTTCAGAGAATACGGCTCCGACTGATGAGATATACATATGATATTACCTACACGCCCGGTAAACAGTTGATTTTGGCTGATGCACTGTCTTGAGACACAGAGAACTCTGAAGAGGAATGGGAACTTACTGAGGAAATCCTTGCATATATACAAAATATTGACACTACTCTACCATCAGTTTCGGATGAAAAGTTGCAAAAAATAAATCAAGAAACTATGAAAGATGAAACTCTAAAACATGTGTCATAGTATTGTGTGAAAGGTTGGCCAGAAAAATATAAAGCGCTACGAGAGCAGAGCCGCTGATACCAACCCGTTGTCCGGACAGACCTTGGCAAATAGTGGGTGCCAATTTGCTGAAGTGCAAAGGTCACTGGTATCTCTTAATCTCAGACTATTATTCCAGGTTTAAGGAGATTGCTAGACTAAATGAATAAAAAATCCATCTTCGCACGTCAGGGTGTACCTGAGACACTAAAAGCAGACTGTTGTTCTCAATTTGACTGCTGTCAATTCAAACAACTTTGTTGTGATTATTCATTTAAATTGATTACATCAAGCCCAAAATGTCCACAAAGCAACGGCTACATCGACGCGCAAGTAAAAAACTTGTATTAAAAAACATGTGTTTTTTTATTATTAGTTATTAAAAACCTTTCTAAAGGTAATAAAAGTTCTTTTCATTCATTCTTACTCTCATTACAAAACTTTAAGTACCACTTAGAAAAAAGTGATGATCCCTACAAAATGCTACTTATGTTAAGAGCAACCCCTCTAGAAAATGGGAAAAGTCCAACGGAATTTATTTTCAGGAGAAGGATCCGCACTTATGTTCCAATAATGTCTGATCAACTAAGACCCTATCTGGTAGACGCTGAAAAGTTCAGGGAAAAGGAAGAAGCCAGAATCGATCGTCAAAAGATTTATTTTGACAAAAGACATAGAGCCACAGAATTGCCTACTCTACCTGATGGAGCTCAAGTCCATATAAAGGACAGAAATCAAGAAGGAACTATATTAAACAAACATACTGCATCTCGATCCTATATAATTCAAACGCAAGATGGTTATTTGCGGAGTAACAGAAAATCATTGCAAAGATTTAGCACTACTATGCCTTCTGATCACTCTCAACCAGCACTGCAGACCAGTCCTTCAGAACACCTGAGAAGATCAGAACCTTTTGATCATCCTGCAATGGCATTGCAGACAAATCCTTTAGCGAATCTAAGAAGATCAACAAGACAATTCAAACCTACCCGGAGGTTCGATCTTTAAAGGGGAGATGTGTTGTATATTCATATGTGTTTGAAAACACATGGTGTTAGAATATTATTTGTTTAGTTTTTGTTGGTAAACATCCTGAATCTTGATTTATTGTAAACTAGCTGTTACCCACGGGCTTCTCCCCGTTCTCTTCATAAGTGATAAGTGTTTATTAAACTATTGATTGGTTAAGTTAAGCTGAAATAAACAAAACAGAATACAGTAATACAAACAAATAATCACACCTGATTTTAATTAGGTAATAAATTGAAAGAATAACATACAAATAAGTACAGCTGAGGTATTTTTAACATAAGGTATACGGAAAGTTCCCTTTAGAAAGGAATTGCGACCTTAAAGGGCAATTTATGAAATAATGGATAGTTTTGCGCAAGGTTTTTCGTCATGACGAACATTTTAAGTATATGGTTTATGAGGTTGCGACTTATAGTTTTCTCAACAGTTCATGGGTATTTTGGGCTTTATATATAGAAGCTACCTAATAATGTATTTGTCTTATTAAAACTATACTAGGTGAACCCGTGCGAATTCGCACGAATAATAAATTAGGATTTTATAGCAACGTCGTTAGAAGTTGCGTCCTTGTATTGGCATTGGTCTTGAGCTCGATCGTTGACTATACTGTATGCATTCTAAGTTCTTTTCCTGTTCAGTAGGAGTATTTTGCAGGACGGAACTCATTGTATGTTGTATGCTGTTGTATGCACATTGTATGCTGAAAACTTGCACGTATGGATTAATATCAACCAAATGATGAGTCAAAATGTGCATGAGTTCAGTGCTGCAAGAGCCATTAGCTTTGTTTAGCATTCTTTCTTGAACAGCGGTTTTGACGTCCGTGGATATAAATTTGGGCATATGTGGGATGCTCCCCTTCTGACGATTGAAAGGGGCCAATTGGGTAATAAATTGTGTCGTGCACCTAATACATGAAAGGCTTATACTTCAATGTACTTCAATTTTAGCTCGAGTGCTGACCATTGCGAGCGCAGAATTGTACGATCAAATGTTTTCTTTGTAGTTCCTGCTCAAATGATTTGCTCCATTAAGTAGGCTCTTAATATAATAGATTCCTCGGTTAGTGGTAGATTCACTTTTCCTTTATGGCAGCAGAATGAAAATCCTTCACCTCGTCTTCTTTGTTCTTCTTTAAAATGTAGTGCACCACATTTCTGACATTTTAATGCCATCTCGCCAAGTTAATGCTGCTGAATTCTTCTATTTGTCAGTGTAATTTTGTAAGTACACGTTGCCACTAACTGTTCCAGCTCCTCGTCTGGGCTCCTTACGTTTTACATTGCTTGCTGTATGTTGACTCACCGTGTCCGACCGGCAATATTTCTTTGTCGTCGGGTCCTTGGCATGTTTAAACGAAAATATAATGTAAAACTTTTCTCTCGCCGTGTCCTATAGGTAACATTTCTTTGCCGGGTTTCTAATTATTTTTTAAAAACATGCAAACTGTTTATATTTCAAAACCAAACAAAAACAGCTGGGATTTAATTTTTCTTTAAACTAATGTATTGACATCTGTTTCAGAATATAATCACATTCAAATCAATCACAATGTTATCCTTATGGAAGGAACTTTGAGGGCAGCCCACGCCCTTAAAAATATATATTTCGAAAATCTAAAGCCAGTTTGCACATCTACACACCTAGACGAACATTTTGGTATATAATATATGGGGTTATATCTTAAAACAAAAAAGCCTTATTGTTCACAAAGTTTCATGTCGCGTATTAAATATATATATATTTTAATTTAACTTACGATAACACTACAGTCTCATATATCCATATTCATCCTATGCTGTCCCAGGCTGGGGTAGTGAAAGTCAAAAGATAGTTTCTTTTCCGACATTATAATTGAAGGCCATCCACATTGTATTTTTCCTTCCTAAACGTCAATCCTACAAAGAAATTTTCAAAAGTTCTGAATTCTAACCTTTCCACCCATATACATTTTTGAGACACTATCCTTCAATCCTTCACTAGAAAAATTATATCTTCTTTTTGTATGCAACACAATTAACAGATATCCATTTTGTAATTCTTCCGACCTTGCAATTCCTAATCACTCAACATCATTCTTCCATAAGAATTTTCAATACAATGCCATCAAGCTTTTTAATAACCTTCCTCCTTTTCTAATGACCGAACAAGATTTAAATAAATATCAAAGGATTTTTTGCTGGATAATGCCTTATGCAGTGATTGTGAATGTCTTTGCCCTAGAACAGGTAGTGTAATAGCATAGTTGATAGTTTTAACTTTGAGACGTTTTATTTTCATGTAAATATTTCATTATGCTTTTTACATACCGGTAGCTGTTGGATATTTTATTTGGCTCAATATTATGACATAGAGGGGGGGGGGGGGGGTTGAGACATTCGTGCTCCAGGGCGCTACAAATCTGACTAGGCCACTGCCACTGTCTGCAGGGTTCAAATTTCTAAAAACTGTTGATTCTATGTCTACTAAGCATTCTCTGTTTCTAAGGAGCTCAACCGTCGCACACCAGTAAATATTCCTTGAAGCTTAGACACAACAGCTTTGTCATGTTCTGACAGTGAACAAGAATCCCAGAACTCTGAACGGAGGCTAAGCTGATCCCAAGCAGAGGCAGGAGAGAGGCCTAATGGAGTGTGGAGAAGAGTATTCCAGTCTGGACTCCAAGTGCCTGCTAAGACCTGAAAACATAACCAAACAACAAAACTTATACTGAAGTATATGCTTGATAACAAAAGAATCCCAATAGAGAGAACAACTCACAAGATAGATTCACTACGAGATATTCAAGTCTACAAACAAAGTGCATGCTAAACCAACATCAGATTCTTCAGTAAAGCAGTCAATAACTAATGTTCAGTCGCCCTACGCTTCTCCTATAGCTTAGCTTCTAACAAAACAACGATTCCACAAACCCGAGCCGCAGAGACAAGCAGATGTACAGTTCCGGCAAGTCACGTAAGCATGGGAGCAGCTGTCTGCACTTGACCTCATGCTAGCAGACAGCACCAACTCAACAGTATGTTTTCACTTCCAGCAGCGCCGTGCCAGCACCTACCAGTCAGTGAAAGTCAAAACAGAGTCGCCCCTTCCCGCCAGAGTGTGCTGATGTGTTGTTCACATCCAAATACATGCAGTCTACTGTCTATAGTGTTTATATAGTCAGTGATTAAAGTCTACAATCAAGGTGCATGCTAAACCAACCACTTCAGCTGCGTTTACATTGAAGGCACACTTGGGCAAGTAAAATGGTGGCGCACGCTTGGCCAAACTTGCCCTTTGAAAAAAATTGTAGCAGATTACTGGAAACCTGTGGCTACTTGTCCAGTCATGGTTACAGTTATCGCCACTAGCAAGGGCACGCAGGGTCAAGGTTGCGCCTCTTAAATCACAAAACAAAAAAATTTGTTTTTTGAAACAAGCGTGCCTCAGTTGTTGTGGTTCACTGACAAAGTAGCACCATTTGTGTAACTGAAAACTTATTTGTTTTATTTAAGTGTTGTTATACGTGTTTAAATTGTTCAACATGTATACTGAGGCATTGATTGATTCAGTGCTTTTATTACTTTTTTTATAGCTATATCTATATCTATATCTATTAGCTTTTTATATCTATACGCTAGTTGACAATAGATTTTGACTTATCAATAAAAAAACTTTGAATTTTATTGTTTATCAAAATAGACCTTTCATTACACTGTCTCAAAAACAGTTGTCTTATGGATAGTTTTGTTTCCCTAAAGATGGCTTTTTGCGGACTTCGAATCATACGGTTATGTCAAAGCTCATTATTTCAAAAACAAATCAGCTGTTCTGATCCTTTAAAATGCTTTAACAATATATAAAAACACTTTGTTTGTTTCTTACACAACCTTTACAAAAATATTTTTTATTTTCTGCTATAATATCTAACAATGTAATGAAAAATATTGTTTATAACTCGTCCTAAAATGCTTTTTTGTGACTTAATCAAATTTTGTAATTTAATCGAGTTATATACGATATCGCTCCAAAAAAGCCTACTTTAGGGACTAGTAACGAAAACTACTATATTATAATGCTTTGTTAAAAAACTAAAGCTCCTCTAGGCTTATTAAACTAGTAGTACGCTTATTCTGCACGTAACGGGATGAGTGAACGTGAGCGTAACAATGGAAGAGTCCACCCGAACCTATCCTACTTACCGGTGTCATTGGTGAACACAATGTAATTTGTATGGGCAAATCAACCAAATCTCAGTCGACAACAATCCTAACTTCTTGTCCATTAATTAATCAAAGTTATTGGATGCAAATGCATTATTCTAACTGCCACCAACGGTTCCCACTCACCGCACTGTTTGCCTTGACTACTTCCTTCACCACTTCCTTCGTCGTGGACCTGTTTACCTCCCCTTTCATAGCATTTTAGTATCGCAGATACATAAATCTAACTGTCACAAAGGGTTCCCACACTCCAGACTTCTCGCCTTGACTACTTCCTTTATCACTTCCTACGTCGTAGACCTGTTTCCCTCCCTTCCCATAGCATTTTAGAATTGCAGATACATTAATCTAACTTTCATAAAGGGTTCCCACACTCCTGACTGCTTGCCTTGACTACTTCCTTCACCACTTCCTTCGTCGTGGACCTGTTCCCTCCCTTCCCATAGCATTTTTGAATTGCAGATACATTAATCTAATCTTCTTACACCCTTGAAGGATAGTTGATTTAATTAAAATAGTCATTTACTTTGTGCCTGGTTAGATGAAAATAAAACCCCTAACCTAGCTTACCGCATGCAGAGCACATGGTACAGGCTTGGGAGCATTCCAACAACTAACTTAAGTTAATAATAACTACGGTACTTTAACGAACTTAAAACTTAAAGTCCTATCTGACCTAACTTATTTGTTTGACCAATTCCTATTTAGAGTAGGCCTACCGTAACTTAGGTGATTGAGAGCCAGTTTGCACTACCTTAACTTAACAGCATTTAACTTAATTTAACTTAGGGCCTAAGTTATTTAACAAAATTGCATAAAATATGTTAAATTTCCCCAGGTGTCTAAATTTTTACATTGACTCTTTAACAGTAGAAAAAAGTTATTTTGTTAATGAATTTATACACACATTGCTTGGTTTCAGGCCCGTTTTTGACCCTGTCAGCGCCCTAGGCACGTCTAATAGTAGCGCCCCTTTGCAATATATACAGGGTGGCTGAAAAGTAACTTGCACCCCCACTTAACTTTTCAACCATTTGAGATATTTGAAATCGGTTTGCGGCAACTTTCTTAGATATGAGGGGCTACAATAATTATGGTCAATTTTGAAAATTTTGCCCTTAGCCCTTAGCTTTTTTAATTTTAGCGGGGGTAAGAGGCAGCTCAAAATTTTCAAATGACAAGTATAGTCAAGTTTGGTATCATTTTACAGGTCTTGACGAAACATGAACATCAACATAAAAAAAACCAAAATCGGCTCACTAATAACAAAATGGCGCCCTAAAACGTTTCAAATCCAAATAACCATGAGGGTGGCAAACAAATTAACTTGCACCCTCCCTAACTTTTTAACTATTTGAGATATTTGAAATCGGTTTGCGGCAACTTGTTTGGAAATGAAGGGCTACAATAATCACGGTCAGTTTTGAAAATTTTGCCCTTAGGGGTAGCAGGGGTAGGGAGTAGCTCAAAATTTTCAAATAGCAAGTATAGTCGAGTTTGGTATCATTTTGTAGGTCTTGATGAAACATAACAATTAACATAATTAGAAAATAGAAATCGGATCATTATAATAACAAAATGGCAGCGCAAAATTACTTTGAATAACCATTGTCTCAATCATTTTTAGCTGCCATTTTGTTATTAATGGTCCGATTTCTATTTTCTTTATGTTAATTGTTATGTTTCATCAAGACCTACAAAATGACACCAAACTCGACTATACTTGCTATTTGAAAATTTTTAGCTATCCCCTACCCCCGCTACCCCTAAGGGCAAAATTTTCAAAATTGACCATAATTATTGTAGCCCGTCATATCTAAGAAGGTTCCGCAAACCGATTTCAAATATCTCAAATGGTTGAAAAGTTAAGTGGGGGTGCAAGTTACTTTTCAGCCACCCTGTATATAACAGGGTGTATATCGACCGGGAAATCCGGGAATCATGCGGGAGATCTTTGAACCGTGAATTTCGTATTCCTACCTGGAGTTTTCAATTTACCGTGATCGCTCATGACAACAGTGACGTTTCCGTGATCGCGCATGACAACAGTGACGTTTCCGAGACCGCGGGAGACAATAATAAATGTCTACACACGGCCGCGAGGGATGATCAGAATTTTCCGCGATCGCAGAAGACGATGATGGTATCTACTATCTACAGATGAGCCGCAACGGATGATCAGAATATTACCACAATCACAGAAGACGATTGATGTCCACACGACCGCGGGAAACCTCAAGAACTTTGCCGCAATCGTGGAAGACGATGATGATCTCCACAAAACTGCAGGACATGATTAAAATTTTGCCGCAATCGCTGGAGACGATTACCATGGATTCATGACTGCGGGATACGTACGATATCTACAGGACCGCGGGAGATATAATAACTATTTCTACACGGCCACGAGGGATGATCAGAATATTGCCGCGATCACGGAAGACGATGATAATGTCCTCACGACCGCGGGAAAATATCAGAATTTTGCCTCATTTGCGGTAGATGATAATAATCTCCTCACGACTGCGGGATACGTTCTTATATTGCCTCGATCATGGAAGACAATAATTTTATGTCCAAACGACCTGACTGCAGAAAATAGTAAGAATCTGCAAACGCGGGAGACGATTACAATGCCTACACGGTCGCGAGTGGTTATCAGAAGTTTACCGCGATATCATGCAAATACTACCACGAATTTTTTTTTAATTTCCAAATTTTTGGCGCCCCCCAAAAAAGCCAATTGCCTCGCGCCCTAGGCACGTGCCTACCGTGCCTTTTCGGTAAATCGGCCCTGCTTGGTTTTTGTATCCATACAACACCAATTATTTATACTTTGTGATAGCCTGTTTAAATTGAAATTGAAGGGAAGTAGACATAAATGCTGTCGGGGCATTCTATGTGCGTGCCAGGTTGATGCTTATTATTGAAGCACTGTATTGCAAGCATCTGCACACACAATACTTTAAACTACTTACTAACATTGTAGGCCTATAGTTCTTATATAAGTTATGGCTTTTGGAAGAATATTTAACTAACAGAAATATGTATTTGTTTTAGATGAAATTTCTCTCAAGATTAGAGGTGCAAACTGTTGGAGTTCTTGCAGTGAGGGCTCTCGTTACTTCACTAACAGATGAAGCGGCAACCCTATTTGGTTGGGCTGGCTAGAGGGGGAAGGGAGTGTTCTCAATTCTAGGCCCAAAAACAGCTCATAAAGTAAGTTCTTGATTGTTTTTTTTAATTATTAATTAGTCTTGTTTAAAATTTGTAATGCGTACCGTACCTCAAAGAATAACTTAATATTCACACATTCTCATATCCCAAAACAATTGTTTTAAGCAGTCCAAGGAGGTCATGCAATAGGAATGATGAGCATTAAACATTTATTTATAACTCTTTATATCAAAATAGCTCTAGGCCTACCTACTTAAATAAAGCTAAGAGCTCGGTTTTCAGTTTTTAGAAAATTGTTGATTTTATAATCCCTTTAATGTAGGCCTACCGGGTGTTCAAAAAGTCTTGACACCTCTTAATATTTTTTTATCTTAATTGGTTAGAAAATTCAAACTTTGCACAACTACATAAAATGTATAAAAACTACCTTTTGCAATCATACCATCTTTGTAACTTCACGGGGGAACGGCCCATGAGGAGTAAGTACAAAATCTTAATTGTAAGCATTAGTTTATATACACATCATTTTAAAGGGCTGGTTAAGTGGAGTTCAATGCTGTAAACCGTGCCATAAGGTTCACAATCACTAAAATAAATTAAAACTCCATTACGGTGATAAAAGATTGGCTAAGACTGTCATGATATTGAATCTTTAGCAAACAGAAAGCAAGGTAATTTGATACCAATGGTTGATTAATCTAATAGTTGACATCAGTCACCATCAAAGCAAAATGTAAAAACTAGATGTTTCATCAGCCTTACAGAAATGATGCTTTATTTGCACAAGCCTATTAACTGTCTGTATCTACGATATAAAAATTAGACAAACAAATTAAAACCCACACATTTTTAACTTCGACAATTAACTAACTTAAACACTGAATAGGCCTACAATTCTTTTTGTGGGGAGGAGGTTAACATTTTTTTACGCACACTGAAAGGCTCATTGGCCTTTCAGTAAGTGCCAACCTCCTGCAGGCTTTTTGTCCCTGGGCTACCGACTAAAAAACCCTCTCATCTGTTTTGACACTAATCTGGAACTGTTTTCCACATTACTTTGGACTAGGCCTTATGGACCATTGGGACATTCCTTCTTATATTATTCCGAATGTTCATGCTGATCAAGATTGGCCACCTTCTTAGCCCGAATGGCCTCGGCAAACTGCTTGGCAAGGTTCTAGATGACTTCCCCCTAGAGCATAGCTCCAACCATGTTGTCGATGAACGGTGAACATTGAATGCAATAAAGTCCCTACAGATACATCATATGTTTTGCATTGGAAACGGTAACCTTTAAACAAGCAAAGCATTATTATAGGTTTAAAGAAGTTAACACCAAAGTGGGCTCACTAAATTCAAAGTAACCAGATGTTCTGATTGTGCTATACAATATTTTAATTCTGTTTATTAATAATGCCTGAAAAATTGAGTACATCAAACACCAGTTGAATATTCAATGTTAATAATATAATGTTATTTTTTCAGGAGAGTAACAACTGGAGAGGGTGAAGACTGCATCCCATTAACGGCTCATATGCTCAATCTTTAGATAATCTTTGTGTTTTTAAATTTTATTACTTAAAATACATACATATTGGAGTATAATTCTGTATATTGATTTAAGGCCTACAAATTTTCTAGTCAGACTTTTTTTTCTTTTTAATAGACACAGAGTAACAAGAATTAAGAATTTTCTAATGGATGATAAATTTAACAGAATGCTTATCTTGCCAGCAAAACAGAATAAAATGCACAAACCACAATTCTTTTACCGAAAAAGGCAGGTAGACCTAATAATTCTGTTTGATTGTGAATTCTCTTCTGTTTTTGTTACTAAAGTAAGCCTGCTGTTGAATTTATCGATAAAAATCCTTTAAAACGCTGGCCTAAAGTCGTCTTAACAAAAAATACCAACAAAAGTTCGTTAGTAAACAATCAATATTGTAACATACAAAAAAATGTATTCACCTCCATAACATTTTATATGTAACAATCCGTACAGTTATCTAATAACAGGTATAATCGAGATTCATATTAATATTATAGCTTACATTTGGTTATTTTCATTTTGTGTTTGACCATTGAAAATAGCCATGAAATGAATCATATTGTTTTCTAATATAACAGTATCTCTATTATATAGGCTAGTAAATCACTCCAACTTAAATTGTAGGGTTATACGATCATAGATCATTTCAGTAAGAAGTAAAACAATTTATGGTTCTTGCCATTGATTTCAGTGAAAATTTTAATAAGTTAATGGCAGTATGATCAATATTTTGTATGTGGATAGTGTAAGGCATAGAATGGCCTTTTACAATTATTTACCACAAAAGAGGGTAATATATATGCAAGTACTGTAATCTAAAAAATTGTAATGTATCAATAATGATATTAAAATGACAGCATACAAATTTTGTTTTCAGGAAAAAACTATAGGCCTGGATAACATTCTTTTCTTTTATGTGGTGCATCATTTTAACTAGTCATTCACAAGTAATTCTCGTGTTATTCACAAGTTAATCACGTGTCATTCACAAGCTTTTCTCGTTTCTTTCACAAGTTTTTCACGTGACATTCACGAGTTTTTCACGTGTTATTCACCAGTTTTTCACGTGTCATTCATGAGTTTTTCACGTGAAAATGTGTAGGACGTGAAAAAATAGGAACACAATTACGTTATTTTCACGAGTTTTTTTCACGTGAAAAAGTGTGTCGTCTTTGCAATTAAGCTATTCACGTGAAATTCTTGTGATTTTTTCCAGTCGTGTACGAGAAATTCACGTGAAATTGGTAAATAGATTTAGTGATTATCACGTGAAATTCACGTGCTTGTGCTTACTGGGACAGTTTCAACCTACATTTGACGTTTGTTGTATTTGCAACTGTGTTACAACTTGTTATACGCACGACTTCCAATCGCAAATATTTACATCCACTGGAAAGGTTAGTGACACCTGTCACTTGGTAGGTGGGAGGGGAGTGTGCGATACTGGCGCCGACAGCGCGCGCCTCGTTGCGGCCGCCGTGGCAAGCTTGTTTTGGCGCAAATAAAATCGGCTGACTATTCTCCATATGGATTGCGCTTCTTATAGTTTTTGTATTCATTGCTTCATGTGATGGTGATTATATAAGCAAAACACACAAAAAAATGGCATTATCTCAAATCTGAGACCTTCATAACTACTAAAACATAACTAACCAGCCAACTATCTTAATACACTCAGTAAAACAATTGTTTTTTTTTTACAATATCAAATTTATAGATTCACTTAAAAGAACTGTAATTTGAATTTATTTACCAGTGAAATTCATATGTTAATAAATGTGGGCATTTCAAAATAAAATAAAATGTTACAAAAGTTACATTACATTCACATTCGCATTGATTCCAGCGTTTAAACCAAAATCCATCTGTTATACGCTACGTAGTGAAACTATTTGCTACGTAGCGGCATTTCAAAACATTTTTGAAGAAACTGGTGAATGGTTGATATGTAAACTTTGTTAATGTCAATGGGTTTCCTTCAAACTAATTCATCAGTTGTTTTTTTATGAAAGCTAATATTAAAAATTTAGTTTTTCTCAAGTAAGCCTATTTCATTAAAAACACAATATCAACTAAGACAATATTATTTAAAAAGCTGTATGTATTACCATGTATACACATCAAATTTTTTCGCATTAGAACACGTTGTTCTGTTTTTTTAATACACCACACAATTCATACTATTTACAAACCAATTCATCCAATCAATTCATCCTGAAATCAGTCTTAGCATTGCAGATACATTAATCCATTCCCACACTCAACACTGCTCACCTTTACTACTTCCTTCACCACTCCCTACGTCGTGGACATGTTTCCCTCTCTTCCCATAGCATTTTAGGATTGCAGATACATTAATGTAATTGCCACAGACAGTTCCCACACTCTGCACTGCGGGCCTTACTACTTCCTTCACCATTTCCTACGTCATAGACCTGTTTCCTCCCCTTCTCATTTTAGGATGAGCATTTAAGGATTGAAGATACATTAATCTAACTGACACAGACGGTTCTCACACTATGCTCATACTTTAATACTTCCTAAGCCACTTCCTACGTCTTGGACCTGTTTTCATCACTTTCCATAGCATTTTAGTATTTTAGATACGTTAATCTTATTGCCACAAACATTCCCCACACTCCGCACTGCTAGCCTAAAAGCCTTTACTACTTCTTTCACCATTTCCTATGTCGTGGGCATGCTTCCCTTCTCCCTTCTTCCCTTCTCTTTATTTATCCTTTCTCATCCCATGTAGCACAGATGGTTGGGCCAACGTTGGTAAATTGTGGAGCCACACAGTTGGCCAACGGTAGAAATGTCACCTCTTTAAACTGTTTTCCAGCCAACCATTGTCCAACCGTTTTATTTCACACAAAATAATAAAGATTTAGTACGAAAAGCATAATTATTAGTTGAGTACATTGATTAAATAGTTCATAAAAACAAATTTTGAAAAAAAGCTAGAACAAAATTTTTTGGCCCAGACGGGTCTCGAATCCGGGTCCTTCGACTTATGAGCCTCTTACTTTACCACTGAGCTATCTGTGATTGTTGATATAGAGAGTTTTCAAGTGGTGAAAGAGTAGCCGACAGTTGCAATGGTCGCAATACTTCAAACATTTTTGATACTACACAGTATAATATGATTCTGTTAATCTGTTAAGGCATCATAAGTAGTTATTATTTATTTTTTTTTTTTTTTGGAGTTAGAGAGGATACTGGTATTTGAATATAGATTAATTAATTACCGTTAGATTATTAATGCTATTATAATAGCCTGTTATATGATTAATTACTCTTTCCCCTTAAATTGTTGCAAATAAGTTCAAGAATATTAATTTAAAAAATATTTGCATTATTATAATTATTAAAATTCATTGTTGTAGCCCCGGAACTGTAATATATCAAATATCTGGTTTTACAGTACCTTTATCAGTACCAAAAACTTTTGGAAACTTTTGGAACTGATAAAGGTATTGTAAAACCAGATATTTTATTATAATTATGTTGTGAAAGCTAGACCCAGAGAATGAAAGTCGTGTAAACTCAACTATATGGACCATCGTTGGTCCAACAAAAGTATCTTTTGTTGGTCCAACGGAGTGAAAAACGGTTGGACAACGGTTGGCTTGATGTATGATACCCAGCAATGCATATTAATGTATTTCATTAACAATGAACCAATGTTGGTCCACAGTTGTAAATATTGGTTGGCCCAACTACGAGATATACAGTTGGACAACAGTTGGTTGGTTGTGGAAGCTCCAACCAACCATCGACCAACTGTCCCACAGTTGGCCAACGTTGGCCCAACCATCTGTGCTACATGGGATAGCATTTCAGCATTGCAGATACATTAATCTAACTGCTACAAACGGTTTCTAGTTCCCACACTACACACTGCTCACCTTACTACTTCCTTCACCTCTTCCTACGTCGAGGACCTGTTTTCCTCCATTTCCATAGCATTTAAGGATTGCAGATCCCTTAATCTAATCGACATATACAGTTCCCACACTCCGGACTGCTTGCCTTTACTACTTCCTTCACCACTTCCTACGTCACGGACCTGTTTCCCTCCCTTCCCATAGGATTTTAGGATTGCAGATACCTTAATCTGTTCGTCATAAAAAGTTCCCAAACTCGGGACTGCTATACTTTACTACTTCCTTCACCACTTCTTACGTCACTGATCTGTTTCCCTCCCTTCCCTTAGTATCATTGTATTGCAAATATCTTATTGGTCATAAACAGATCCCACACTCCGGACAGTTCGCCTTGACTACTTCCTTCCCTACTTCCTACGTCGCGGGCCTGTTTTCCTCCCTTCCTATAGCATTTTAGGATTGCAGATCCCTTAATCTAATCGTCATAAAGAGTTCCCACACTCCAGACTGCTCGCCTTTACTACTTCCTTCACCACTTCCTAGGTCACAGACCCGTTTCCCTTCCTTCCCTTAGCATTATAGGATTGTAAATACCTTAATCTAATGGTCATAAACAGTTCCCACACTCCGAACAGCTTGCCTCTACTACTTCCTTCACCACTTCCTACGTTTCGGACCCGTTTCCTTCCCTTCCAATTGCATTTTAGGATTGCAGATACCTTAATCTAATCGTCATAAACAGTTCCCACACTCCGGACAGCTCACCTTGACTACTTCCTTCACCACTTTCTACGTTGCAGACCTGTTTTCCTCCCTTCCCCTAGCATTTTAGGATTGCAGATACCTTAATCTAATCGTCACAAACGGTTCCCACAGTCCGGACTACTCGCCTTTACTACTTCCTTCACCACTTCCTACGTCACGGACCTGTTTCCCTCTCTTCCCATAGCATCACAGGATTGCAAATACCTTAATCTAATGGTCATAAACAGATCCCATACTTCAAACAGCTCGCCTTTACTACTTCCTTCACAACTTTCTACGTTGCGGACCTGTTTCCAGTAGTATTTTAGGATTACAGATACTTAAATCTAATCGTCATAAATAGTTCCCACACTCCGGACAGCTCGCCTTGACTACTTCCTTCACCACTTCCTA